CTGTGTAGTAGAGTGCTGTATGAATGTGTGTGTGTAGTAGAGTGCTGTATGAATGTGTGTGTAGGAGAGTGCTGTATGAATGTGTGTGTGTGTGTGTGTGTGTGTGTGTGTGTGTGTGTGTGTGTGTGTGTGTGTGTGTATATATATGTGTGTGTGTGTGTGTATATATGTGTGTGTGTGTGTGTGTGTGTGTGTGTGTGTGTGTGTGTGTGTGTGTGTGTGTGTATTTATTTATTTATTTACAGTTAATCACTTGTATGTAAACACAAACAATGTAATAGTTTCTACAGATGGAGGCCTGAGAGGTAGAAGAAGAAGAAATAAAAGTTTGATTCAACTCGATGCAATTAGTTTCAAAATATCAAACATTTATTTTCTCAAAAGTAATTCAGTTTTTAGTAGAGGAAAATGACAGAAAATAAATTACATTAAATGGAAATTAGCCATAAAAATGCAAGTGAGGTGAAAAGTTATGGATATGTAATTTTTTACCTAATAGCTGTTTGAATAACCTTATTTTAGAGAAGTACCGTTTATTCCTGACCGGACTGGTGATCTGAGGGTTAAAGCAAGACAAGATTTATTGAGAATAATAAATCCTTATTCCAGCAGCAGCAGCTAGCTGTAGCACTACCGGTGCAGCCTAGGACAGTTTGACCAAAACTACAAAATATTCAAGTTATGCAAACCTGCCAAGGTTTATGAAATATGCAGATGAGCTTATTAAGCACAAAACAATCTGCAGTTTATCTGGTAATTGTTAAATTTATCATCAAATATTAAACCTCCCTATGAACCCACCCCACACACCCCAAAGTCCAGCTCCACAGGACCCATCTAACTCCCACCAACCAGCCACAACTGCAAGCGTAAAACCAACTTGCAGCTATTGCCTATTTCTTTTTTTCTGTTTTTATTATTCAAGCAGGGCTCATTTATATTGCACAACGATTGTCTACACCAAACTGTTTAAAAAAAACAGAAAAATCATTGAACAGTGAGACCTGGCTGCCAGTTTTTAATTCAGGGTTGTTGCTTGTTTCGTGTTTTATCTTTAAAAATGTCCCGTTGGAACTTCCATACTTTTATTTTCTTTACCTGCTTTTCCAGTCAGGGTTGCAGGGGAGCTGGTGCCCACATCAAGCACTCATTGCACACGTGCTCAGGGAAAACATGCACCTCCACACAAAAAGGCCCCAGCCAGGAGATGAACCTGTGACCTTCTTTGTGATGCGACAGCACCAACCACTGCACCACCACTTGGGACTCACAATGAATTAAAGGTTACTCAGCCAAGTCCTGCATATGAAAACCCTTCTAATAAGATGGTTTCAGGTGCAGAGACATGTGCTGCAGCTGCTGCTTATTTTCGCCGGTCCTATGGATTAACATGGAGGGAGCTGCTGAACGTAAAGCTGAGCTCACCTTGGACTATAGTTTCCACTTTTTAATCCTTTCAAAACAAACTGCAAGAGCAGAAAGAGACTGGGGCACTTTGTTTCTCTGTAATTCCTCTTATTTCAGGAGGGCGTGGGCGGTAGGTGTTGCATTAACGTGCACAATCATGAACACAAGCAAAAACCTTAAGATTAGGGTTGTTTTAAAACAGTATTGGTTTTTGGTCTGCTCAGAATTGTGCTTGCCTGTTTGGAAAGAATTTAACTTTATTTCTCCAACCTGAGGGTTTTCTACAAGTAAGACGTGATGCTTCAATGTTCTCATGCCCATAAACCACGGCTATCGTATGGGTTGGTGCTTCTGTCAACAAAACTGTGTTATAATGCACAGCTGACTAACTTTAATGAGCCAATTGATCTGTTCTTGAGTGACACACAGCAACCAGCTGCAACCGAGGCCAACGTCACTCCCACATGTTGAGTCATGACAGAAAAATGAAACATTAGAGCTGGAGAAGGGAAGTGTCAGTTCAAGCATTCTGAGGTCATGGCACTGTTGAGTCGTGTCAGGGCAGAAACCAGCGAAGGGCACTTATAGTTCGCTTAACGTTAAAAAGATTCACCTGCTTTAAATTCAAAAGCGGATCCAAAATGGCCTAAAGGCTGATAACTAAATCTCTATTCTGCATTTATTAGTCTCAATTATATAAAATGGTTAAAAAAATTAGTCAAACATTTTCTTTCGTTGACACATTTGTTGATTTCTTTACGTGATATGATGGAAAAGTCCCAGAGAGCTGCTAAATGTGTTTAAATCCTTTGTTTTGGAGACAAAGGGCCCTGTAGGAATCTATCCTCCTGTCTGGGTTTCTCTGCTCTCTGTTTGAAGTTGCAGAAAAGAGGGAGGGTTTTTCTTTTTTAGTGGGGGAGGCGGGATCTTGTGACTCACCAGCAACTTCCTCAGTAGTAGGACAAAAGTACCCGGCAATCTGTATCCATCTTCGGCTCAGAGGTTTGACTCCAGTCAGAAGAAACAAAGTTTTCGGAGCCTCCAGCCAGCTGATCCCAGATCCGATTTCAGAACCGGTTTCTGCATTTTTCACTCAGACTGTTGGGAAGGTGCGTTCACACTTCACACATCCCTCCTGGTAAGAAACAGCATTTTAATCATCTGTTTTTCTTGGTTTTTCTCCCTTTTTTTTTTTTTTTTTACATTTCTACTGCAAACCTTTTGTTATTCTCAGGGACACTGGTATCTATAAGTTGCTTGGTGAAATATTTTAGGCTGCTTAAAATAATAATAAACGTGTTATTTATTGCAAAAGGCTGAAAAAGTTTCTCCAAGAATCAGTGATGGTTGAACAAACTATGAGCAAAATAAATATTAAAAAATAATACTAAAAAGTGTCAAGACAGAGCAAAGTTTAAAGTGTGTTTATTTTGCATTTAATATTAGTAATAAAAGTGGTTGAACAGGCGGTAGGCCTATTTAATATATTATTTTGAGCTGTTCTCTGCTTTCTATGTGGAAAGTTTGGGCTTTTCAGTTAAAGATTGTGTGTAAATGAATTGACGATATGTACGGTGTAAGAATATATGAAAACTCTGCAAAGTTCAAAAATCAAACTCATCTGGACCATATACAGTATTTTGATTCTTTTCATTTTCCCGTTCATCTTTATTTTTATTGCTCTTTATTATTTATTACCATATATAAAACCAAACTTGTCATCACCTTGGTGGAGAGATGGATCAGATGTGAGCATAAAAAAAACGTAATAAATTGGACGTTTGACAGCTATAAAAGCTCCCAGCTACGCTGACTTCAGTGAGCAGAGTTCTTCAGCCTAAACTTGTCTTTCTCTGGCAGGAGGAAGTGGGATAAGTCAGTGTGTGTCTGCATGGGTGTGTCTGTGCTGCAGCGTCTGGAGCTGTTTTGGCCGTGCATCAATACGTTGCAGTGCAGGTTGTATTTCCATCATCATCGGGATGATGCTTCGGTACACTTGTTGATTCATGTGGGCGCAGTAGGGAGGGCAAAGGGTTCAGGTTTGTCAATAAGGATAAGGAACGAGGGCACAAAGTAGATAATTTTGTCATACAAGCTATCTTGTTTTGTCTTGGCTGTAGTTTGAAGGACATTAAGCGATTTTAGATGCACAAAGGGGACCCTTATGTGTACTCACAATACTTTTACACTCAAGAAACTGAAGGAAGCTTTTATTTTACAAACTAAACCTCTTTAAAGCCCCCAGAATTCTGTCAAATTGCTCTTTGAAGTTTTAAACAGTAAATTTCATCAATGTTCACTTTAACAGAGTTTCTGATCTACTGCAACTGAAAAACCTTGAGGCAATAAAACAAACAAAACTGACTTACCGTGACCACAAACAGCTGATATCATGAAGTTGTCTGGTTACACATCCAGCAGACAGGAAGCAACACGTTCTCATATGAGGTGGTGTTGACGGCCTCCATCATGTTCCTTTTTAGTTTTGCGTTTCTCTCCACTGGTTCCTAAAAGCTGCTTGATAACCGCTGCACCAGTTTGAACAGTCTGGTTCTCAGCAGTGGTGCATCACAGCATGCATGGTCCTTGATGAAAATGTATCTGTTGCAGCTAAAAACAGAGTAAACAAAACCAGCATTTCTTGAAGGAACGCATATCACCCGCCAGTTTTCATGCCTACGTAAGAGGCAAAAAATTGGCGTGATCCATTAGTGCTTTGGGTAAGTGTTAGTTAGGAATAAATGCTACAACCACAACAGATTTTAGCTCAATATCTGTAAAACTGACCGAGCTATAGGGACTTCTTTGGTATTTTGCAAAGTTGATTAGCCATCTTGAACTGCGTTGACTTCAGAAGGTTCAGTTTAGATGTACATTCAGTTGTTATGTTGTGAGAGGTGCATTCATTCTGTTCATTAAGCTATTTTGCTAACAGACAGACACAAGGAACACACAGTTGGAAGCAGGTTCATGATCATTTGCCTGTAATGGTAAGCGGATTACCGTATTTTTCAGACTATAAGGCGCACTTAAAATCCTTAAATTTTCTCAAAAATCAATAGTGAGCCTTATAATCAGGTGTGCCTTATGTATTAATTCTGGTTGTGCTTCCGGACCTCAATCAATCAATCAATCAATCAAACTTTATTTATAGAGCCCTTTCTAGCAGCCAAAAGGTGCACAAAGTGTTGCACAATACAGAAGTTGAAAACAAACAATTAAGGATAACAAAAACAGACAGTTAAAAATTAAAAACAAACTATTTAAACATAGCAAGATTGCCAAAGAACTACTAGGTATTAAAAGCCTGCCTGAATAAAAAGGTTTTAAGTCTAGACTTAAAATGCTCAATATCAGTGATGGAGCGCAAGTCCTGAGGTAGATGGTTCCAGAGTCTAGGTGCAACGACAGAAAAGGCCCAGTCACCCCATCGTTTGTAGTTGGACTTTGGGACAGACAGTAGAAAAGTACTGGATGATCTCAGTGTTCTCCTATATATCACACCATAGTCACACCTCGAACCGATTTTATGTGGTATTGTGAATGAGTTGAATAAAGTTTGACTCATCTGACTGTTTTGTTTCACTTAATGTGCCTTATAATCCAGTGCGCCTTGTAGTCCGAAAAATATGGTAGACCAACACTGAACTGGTAAATGGACCTGTACAGCTGCAGGACATTTCTTTATAAATCCATTACAATATTATCTACTCACGTGATTCATGGTTAAACTGAAAACTACCTAATTATTCTTTATTTTATTTACGTCACTGAACCTTGTCAAGTTTGAATAATGTGTACATGAACTTGAAGACACTGCTGAAGTTGCTCCTGCCCTTTTATTTTTTTTTGTGTGTGAAGTTTCAGAATTTACAGCCTGGAGGCCTTTGAGCAATCCTGCTGCACTCTCACCACTGTCACATTATTTTTACACAAACTCCTTGTCTCTGGAACAAGCAGAAATAAAGCCCCGGCAGCCAAAAAGCTTGTCATTCTGTCCCATTTAGCAGCTGGGAAGTTTGCCCTGACAGAACCCACGGGCTCTATAATGTATTTGTTTGCTTTTTTTCCTTCTTCCTCCCTCTTCGTTTCATTGACCATGGTCACATTCCTCGGAGGTCTCAGTGTTTTCCAAAGGTTAGCCCCGCGTGGCAGCTGGAGCCTGGCCAGTTCTAAACTGCAGTGAGACTTGCAGCTGAATGACTCGGACTGGTTGTGGCTGGTTTTTTTATGCGCTGGCACCGTTTGAAACTGGGCCAACGATAATGGTGGAGAGTTCGGCGGTCAAGTGTTTGCAGGTGGTTCAGGAGCAGACTTTGGATTTGTGTTGAAGCAGCTCTCTTTTGACGTGTCTGTTTTTAAGTGGTATGCGGAGGGGGAATGGGCAAGTTGTGTTGCTTGAGTTATTACTTTGCGCTACAAACCCTCCCCGAGGCTGCTCTCCAACAGGAGGTCTTCATAATCATATTAGTGAAGTCTGATCACAGATTAGGATGCTGCTTAGACTTGTTTCAAATGCAGTTTGTCAAGGCCTGTGTTGTAAAAGGTTAAACAATGTGGGCGTCGCCCTGATCAATCCCAGTCTTTGCAGCAAAGACTGGGATGAAGGGATGGTTTCTGTAATTCCACTCAGAATGTCAAATGAACTTTCAGCTGTTTTCACCAAAGCCAGGCTGTAGCGCTAACAGAAAAGTAGGTGAACTAAAATTATAAATGTATAATTTTGGCATTTCTTCTGTAGGTTGCTGTCCAGCCAGTTTCCTCCTCAGTAGGATGTGGGGGGCACGTGTCTGGAAGCAGTAGTGTGTCTGCATTCCCTGAAAGGGGGGAAGTGACCTCAGATTTCCTGTGTGGGGGCTAGCCAGGTGCTGCGGTGTTATTGTGAGGGTCGCAAGACTTCCTCCATGGATGCTTTGTTGGTAAACGCCTGAAACCTGATTCCCCCAGTGGGATATAATGTCCCCCTTCTCCACAACCCAGTCATGTTGCCTCACTTTGCTGTTCAGTATTCAGTCCAGTTCAAATTGGGATCACACAAACTTTATGTAGTCAGTCAAATAGTGTGAAAGCTAACTGACTCCCAGCTAATAGGGTAATTATGTTCCTCTAGAGATACAATTACAGGCCTTTACCCAGCACTTACCTGCTGCACTCAAAGGAAACACTGTTTTAGAGGAAATACCAAATAGTGAGCGCAGAACTGTAGATGCCTCGTAACTACACAGTTTAATACAGACTAATTACATGCCAAGAAAGAATAGGGCTGTTTTGCCTCCCTCCATGCCTCACTGTGTCTACTCCACATCACATCTGTCTGATATATTTGCTGCAAGCCAAATCCACGGAGCATGTACCTTATCAGTGTCTCTCACTTGTAACAGATGTTGTTTGGGTGCAGGAATCCCGTCGATTCACTGCTGCATCATCACGTTGCGCCTCGCATTGAAGAAATGCGTGATTCAGGCATGACTGTTTTCCTGCACCCTCGCCTGAGGGAAGGAGGGCAGGGCGACGTAACCGAGGTCTCAGCCACGTAAAAAATTAACGAGACCTGATGACAGGAATGTTATGCAAACTTGCAGCGGTTACAGACTCTTCCATCATGGGTCTAACCGGCCTCGTTTGGTTCTCAGGAACAAGATCCCAGTTCAACCTGTTTTTATTTCCATATCTCTGCTCAGGGTGGAGCTAAACGCACCTGAAAGTGTCCAAATCTATTTAGATTTGCACAGTGTCAATTTTATTTTCTTCTTTCAGAGTCAGAGTCAGTCAGAGTCAGAGTTTCTTTATTGTCATTCGCACCTCATGTGGTACATGTGGTGGAGCGAAATTATGTACGCAGGGTCCCAGTTACATCCAACAATAAAATGTATAAGAAAAACAGTAATGACATCTAAGATATGAACTAAGAAAAACATCAACTAAATATACACTAAGCACTCATAACATAAAACATTGAACATCAGCACAAACATGAACATGAGTCTGTGAGCAGATGTGCACGCATGAACACATCAACATGAAACAGATCAGCAGCAACATGAAACAGATCAGCAGCAACATGATATGGTTTTTCACAGTGATTATTCTAGTTAGAGATTCATGAGTC